TACTATTTTAATTAGGGAGTTTTACAAGCTGCAGTTAAGTTTCAATACAAATCATCCAAGAAGCGTAACAATTGGAGCTATATAAATGCTAATAATAATAAGATTACTGTTTTGTGTGTTAGGTTTTTTTTTTGCTTTATTTTTATTTATTTTTGAAGTGGAAGAACATATACAATAATGCCTGCTATTTCCAGCAAGAAGAGATTACACCTTAATTAGTCAACATAGGCATGCGCAGCCTATTGTATAAGGGTGCGCACTCTAAATCACGAACACACACGCCGCATATATATATATATATCCAAATAGGTTATGGTGGGGAAAAATTGTGATTGAAATCCCCTTCCACCTGAAGTATGTGGATAGTTAATACAATGTTAAACAAAAATCTGCACACCAGTCAACCCATAAGACTTGCTTTTCCCACAGAAATCCCAAATCTGCAATGATGTTACAACCACTAAGGATTCATGGTGGGCATATGCAAATTAGTTTAACAAAGAATCACATTTTTGCTTCATTCCATTTTAAACATGGATTCCTTTTAATCTGTGTTTGCAGTATACAACTGCTTGGAACACAATTTAGGAAAAGATGCAAAACCAGTGAACCACTCATGGGCAGTGGCGTCGCTGGGGGGGGGCCAGAGGGGGCCATGGCCTCCCCTACATCATGCTGTGCCTGACAGGCTCTCTGGCATAGGCCCCACCCCCAAATGAAGCCCCGACTCCTGCACATAAGCCCCGCCCGCCGTAAAGAAGCAGACCATGCTGCTGCAGAAGATGGCTGCCTGACCCCCAGCAACATCCTCCAGTAACAGGTAGGCTGTCACTGCCCCCCATACAGCCCCCCATACACACACATTGCCCCCCACACTGCCCCCCATACACACACACTGCCCCATAATACACACACACTGCCCCTCATACACACACACTGCCCCCCATACACACATACTGCCCCCCATACACTCACACTGCCCCATACACACACACTGCCCCCATACTGCACCCATACACATACTGCCCCCATACACAAACACTGCCCCCCACACACACCACTGCCCCCCATACACACATTGCCCCACTGCCCCCAATACACACACTGCCCCATTACACACATTTGCCCCCATACACACATACTGTCCCCCCCATACACAGCAGCCCCATACTGTCCCCATATACACACATACTAAGCCCCATACACACACTGCCCCATACATGCCCCCACACACACTGCCCCCATACTGCCCCCATACTGCCCCCCATACACACACACTGCCCCATACACACACACTGCCCATACACACATACTGCCCCATACACACTTACTGCCCCCCCCATACACACACACTGCCCACACACACTGCCCCCCATACACACACACACTGCCCCCCATACACAAATACTGCCCCCCATACACACGCACACTGCTTCCCCATACACACACACTGCTCCCCCATACACACACACACTACACACATACACTATCCCTATACACTGCCGCCCACACTCACACACACACTGCAACTGTTACACACACACATACTGTCCCACACATACACTGCATCCCTGACATACACTGCCGCCCTCACTCACACACTACAATCTTCAAACACACACACTGCTCACACACTGTCCCACACACACACACACACACACACACACACTGCACCCCTTTACACATTGCACCACTCACACACACCACTGCTCCTATGCCCTACAACAGCCCCATTTCCCAGCAGACCTCAGGTAAGTTGTCAAACTGTTCTTAAACGGTTTGACTGCTTACTCTGGGAGGGGGTCCCGGCACTATTGACACCATAACCACTACACTGAACTGTAGTGGTTATTGTGTCTGGATTATTTCTTTAAATAATCTACAAGTGCCCCTACCGAGATCAGGCTCTGGATCCGCCACTGCTCAGCAGTCTGTGTGTGTGTGTATGGACTCAGCAGTCTGTGTGTGTGTCTGTTAGCGTGTATTTACTCAGCAGTCTGTGTGTATGTGTATGGACTCAGCAGTCTATGTGTGTGTGTGCATGGACTCAGCAGTCTGTGTGTGTATGGACTCAGCAGTCTGTGTGTGTGTGTATGGACTCAGCAGTGTGTGTGTGTGTGTGTGTGTGGACTCAGCAGTCTGTGTGTGTGTATGGAATCAATATTCTGTGTGTGTGTGTGTGTGTGTATTTACTCAGCAGTCTGTGAGTGTGTATGGACTCGGCAGTCTGTGTGTGCATGGACTTGGCAGTCTGTGTGTGCATGGACTCAGCAGTCTGTGTGTGTATATGTGTGTATGAACATAGCAGTCTGTGTGTGTGTGTATGGACTCAGCAGTGTGTGTGTGTATGGACTCAGCAATCTGTGTGTGTGTGTGTATGGACTCAGCAATCTGTGTGTGTGTATGGACTCAGCAGTCTGTGTGTGTGTGTGTGTGTGTATGGACTCCACAGTCTATCAATAATTAAAATTCCTGTGAGTTGTTGTGTAGGAAGGGCCCCAGTGCATTGCTTTGCCCAGGGGCCCTTAACTCTGTTAAAATGGTACTGTTTGTGTGTGTGTCAGTGAGCTTTTACTTAGTGAGCATGTGTGTTACAGTGAGCTTGTCTTTAGTGAGCTTGCGTGTGTCCCTGAACTTCTTTGTAGTGAGCCTTCTGTTTATACAAGTGAGTTTGTCTGTAGTAAGCTTGTGTGTGAGTCAGAGAGTTTTGTCTGTCAGTAAGCCTATTTGCGCATGTCAGTGAGCTTGTGTGCTTACTGTACTATATATATAACGTAGAACGAAATATATATATTGACTTGTAGGAATGGCATACATTTTTTTTCCAGGGCTGCTTTGGATTCCCAGGGATTCCCAGTTTGTGCACTTTACCGCTGAATCATCTGTGTGAGCTGCCGCACACTTTAGCCCTGTTACATGCGTCTGGGAGCTGCTGTTGACAGGTACTAGTAGTCTAGAGATTGGGACATGGGGTATATGCTCAGCTATCTGTATAATACAGGCCTGTGCCTGTATAATATCCCGGGACAGTCAGTGCTCCCTGTATAGTGCTGCTCTATGTCTTGGGATATTATACACAAACAGACCTGTATTATACAGAGAGCAGCACTATACAGGGAGCACTGAGTGTCCCAATTTATTATACACACAACCTTGTATTATACAGAGAGCACTGACTGTCCAGGGATATTATACCGAGACAGTAATTGATAGCTGTGCTGGAAAATGTCCTCGAAATTTTTTTTTCAAATGTTGGCAACTATGGCACTGTATCAAGGGTAATGTGTTTGTTTTTTTAATAATCCCTGGTGGAAAATAATGAATCCTCCACCAGGTATTATTAAAAAAACAAAACACATTGTGTCGGGGTTTAACATGCGACAGGGGCGGGGTCAAACTGCGGCGAGGGCAGGGTTAAATGTGCCCCCCTACTTTTGTCCCTGGCCCTCCATGTGCCCCCCCTAAAAATTAATCCTAGAGACGCCACTGCTCATGGACAGCTGTTTCGTTGTTAATGCAACTCATCAGCATGAGGTTGGTTACTGGTTTGCTCATTGAGGCTTGGTAGTGCTTGGGAAGCAAAATCCAGGCCCACTGGGCTCTTAATCTGACCCTGGTGGGAGGGTGCTGTTAGTGTGTGTGTGGGTGCTGTGTGTGTAAGGGTGCAGTTAGTGTGTGTGTGCTGTGTGTGTAAGGGTGATGTATGTGTGTGCTGTTTGTGTGTATTGTGTGGGGGTAGGGGGGCCATTTAGTTAATATCCACCTTCTCTTCTTACCTTATGTAGGGAAAGGGGACTGTGCTCCTGCCATCCCTGGTGGTCCAGTGGTGAGTGAACTCTAGCTCCACAGGGGGCTAGAGTTCACTCTCGCGAGATCTGAGCGTTGCTGCGATAACCGTGGCAACGCTCCAACCTCGCGAGAGGAACCCGGTGGAGCTACTGGCAAGAGCTCCCTGGGTCCTCTCCTGCCTCCCTCCATGCTGCTGTGGGTCTGTGAGGGAGACCTTTGATCTCCCTCACCGGCCCACGGAGGGAGGCAGGTAGCGTGTGCTGCGGGCATTACGGTGTGCCCAGTTAGTCACATATTCTGTGCACATGTAACCAGTTACTGCAATTAAACGTTTAATTCTCTCTGCCGTCACCTCCAAATTCCCCTCTTGTCCCATCTCAGCATTTTAACATTTAGGTTTTAAACTCACAGGCTTTCTAGCAAAGTATTTACTTAATATTCAAGGTCTAATTAACTACTACTACTTTAGAACAGCTGTGAGCAGTAAACCCATTCATTATTCTTTGAAAAATACCTATGTTTATAACTGAATTGTAAACATTCCCTCATATATGGCAACCTAATCTTGTTTCTTTAACCTCTACTAGTTTACCATTTTTCTTTTATTTCAGAGGATACCTGGACTTGAACTGCCTAAATTGAATAAAAACTGCATAAACCGAAGTGTTCTAAAACGTTTGACTGGCAATGTAACAGAATATGCATCAGGAGAGGAGAGAATAGACATTAATAAGTATCATGTAAAATTAAGTCATATATGTCAGACTGAATAGTAAAGCAGTGATGGCCAGTCTTCGTGTCATAAATATAAAACTTTATCTAAAGCAGGGGGTGGGAAAACAGTAGATCCTCAGATGTAATACTACAACTTCCATAATGTTTTACCATTCCAATGGCTGTCTCTTATTTTCCCAGTACTGATCTAATGTAATAAAAATGATCCAAAGTAGGGAGAAGAGAAGAGGATGTCTTCTAATACAATCGCGTTTTTTAAAAAGTTTAATAGATCATTCACATATCATGAAACCAAACATGATTATTATTTCTTTTCACCTCCTTATTCTACACATTCTATTTCACAGTTAATATTCATTTAGCCTTAGAAAATATTATACTGGATTTTCAATAGTAGAGCATATATACACAATTCTGGCGTTTTATCAACTTTCTGGTATTGTCATTGATTGGTGAGATTGATAAGAATTACCTAGCTGAATAGATATACATTACTTAAATATCAATGGACAGAATGATTAATCATTTTTTGGCACATTAAACAGTAGTGCATAGCTTTTCGAACATCTTTGTTTCGTAAAGAATAGATCATGGGATTTAACAGTGGTGTTATCACTGAATAAAATACAGATACCAGTTTGTCATTATTTAGGTCATATTTAGCTTTGGGTCTTACATACATAAATATCACAGTTCCGTAAAACAGAGACACAACAGTTAAGTGTGCGGCACATGTAGAAAATGCTTTTCTTGGGACTTTAGAAGGGATCCTAGGAATAGTGGTAATGATACAGACATAGGAAGCCATAGTCAGTATGCAGCATGATAATACAACACTCCAGGACAAAGTGAAAAATATCTGTTCTGTAGTCCTGGTGTCCATACAGGACAGCTTAAGAAGTGGAGGATAATCACAGAAGAAGTGATTGATTATGTTTGGTCCACAAAAAGGCAAACTAGAGATAAATGTTACAGTGAGAATGGAAGCTACAAAGCCACTCAGATAGCATCCAAATATGAGATAGAGACTAACATTTGTAGTCATCAAGGAAGAATAGCGTAATGGATAACAAATAGCCAGGTAACGGTCCCCAGCCATGACAGCTAAGAGGAAACACTCCGTCGACCCAAGTGAGAAGAAAACATATAACTGTGCCATGCACCCTCTAAATGATATTGTTTTTATGTTAGCAAGGAAGAGGAATAATAGATTAGGTGTGGTTACAGTTGTATAGCAGATCTCAAGAACAGAGAGACTAGAAATAAACATATACATAGGTGTATGTAGTTGTCGGATCTTTATTACTACTATTATTATAAGGGCATTTGATATGAGTGTTAAGACATAAATTATTAAAAATATGCAAAACAGAACAATCTGAAGACTAGGTGCACTGGGAAGACCCAAAAATACAAATTCTGTTACTGTAGATTGGTTGAGTTTCACCATCTGTTTGGTATAGTTCATCTGAAATATTATATAAATTATATATCATAAAGTTATAATATAGAGTTTTTCCATATTTTGTCTGTCTGTCCGTCTACATCAACACACGTACAGGGCTATTCACTTAAGCCCAGATGGCCCCAAACTGAATAGGGAAAAAACATCAGTCTGCATTTTGGGGTAGACTAAAAATCCAGACATTGTTGGTTTAAGTAATCTGGCAGCTGAGGGATATAGCTACTAAACATCTGAAACAAATGACTGGGCAGCCTTATAGAAATCCCCATCCCAGATGCATGAGAAGTAAGAGGAGGACATACCCCCCATGCCACCACCCATAAACATTGCATGGGGCTACTATAACTTTTAAAGTGGGAAAAGTGTTGGCCCCTCTACTGGCCGCTATCTAGGCAGGCTAATTTGAGTCCTAATATTTATAAATAGGATGGGACGTTATGTCCCCTCCCCTGGCCCTAATATTTAAAATAAAGGGGAAGATCTATTGTCTCCTCCCCTGGCCATCAATCATGCCAGTGGGTGGGGGCCCTAATATTTAAAAAGTGGTGGAACTTTCGTTCCCCGCCCAATGCAGGCAGGTGTGGATCCTAATAATTATAAAATAGGGGGGGCATGTTGTCTCCTCCACTGGCCAACCAAGGCAAGTGGGTGGGTGCCCAAATGAATTCTAAAATAGGGTGTATAGCTCAAATAATAGTAATTCTCTAGGTCAGAGATTCTCAACCTAGTCCTCAAGGACCCCCTACCAGTCCAGGATTTAGGGATTACCTGGGTGTGTCTAAAGTGTTTAGAAAAAGAAAAAAAAACACACCTTAGACTCTAAGGTTTTTTTCTTTTTCTAAACACCTTAGACACACCCAGGTAATCCCTAAATCCTAGACTGGTAGGGGGTCCTGAGGACTGGGATGAGAACCCCTGCTCTAGGTGGTTAGGGGTTCCTAATCCCCATCCACATATAAAGTCCCTACCTACCCCCCTCACCCTAATTAGAATAAGGAGGGTGCCAAAAAAAAAAACTAAAACATGTAAAAGAAAATATAATTACCTTCAGAAGTCTTCTTTCTTCTAATTCTGTTCCTCTGCCCCTTTTATAGGTTTTCCCATGCTATGACAGCTCTTGCAAAGTGTGAAAAAATGTGAGAAAAAAATTATTAACATAGTTTGCAATATAACCAAGAGCTCCTTGATTGGTTGGCTTGAGAGAAATGAGATTAGGCTGTCAGAATGCTCTGACATGTCCCTCCCTTCTATTTTTTTTCTGCCAAGTTACTAGTTTTTAATGATTAGTACATATGCCCCCCCCCCCCCATCAGATGGGGGTACATTACTTTAATGATAGTAATATAAGGATGTATTGACCCCCCCATGGAAATTGTATTTATTTATTTTTCCTTTTTTTCATGTGACTGCTGGCTAGCAAACACTGGACAGCCACTGCATAATTATAACTATTTGCTGACTGGTTGCTTTTTGTGGGAAAATAGTATTTATTATTATCATTATTATTATTTATTTATTTATTTTTCTTTTGGTAATCAGTGTGACTTTGACTTCTTTATTTTTTGCAGTGCATTTGGAAAAATACAAGTGTACATGGACATTTAAACAGAAATCTGTGTGATAATGCTGGAAAACACCATGCTGAGAGGACGCAGCAAGCTTGAACTCCTGAAAAGTCTTACAGCTTTAGAGAAATAGGGGATTTACCTAGCAAAACCATCAATTGCCAGTTGTCAGGATAATTTGCAGGGAATTGGTGGTTTTGCTAGGTAAATCCACTATTTCTCTTAAGTTGTAAGATTTTTCAGGAGTTCAAGCTTGCTGCATCCTCTAAGCATGGTGGTCAAGCCCCGTCCCTCAACTCCGCTATGTGTACCTTAAATTAGAAATTTACTTTGAATTCACTTTGGGTTCCCAATAATTATCACTTTAGTAAATAACCCTGATAAGTTTAAGTCAGAGGGAGTGGAACAGGCCGAGACATCTGTGCTGTTAAGTGCTGTTAAGTTTGTGCGGACAAATGCTGGCTGAATGTCACTATTTTAAGATTTGCAGGTGTATATGAATGATTCTTTCCTGCAACTTAAACAAACAGAAAGAATGGTGTAGTGTTTTGGTAATTGACACTCAATAAAAATTGTGAGGAAAAAATATGCGCAAATACTTATACTTACATATTTTCCATGGTATGGTGTCTTAAAATCCACATGAATTTCATATACATGGGTTTTCAGTGCTTCCAATCTTTAACCACTTTAAAAATACATAATACACACACCATAGTGTAAAAACATAAAAATGAAATCTAATAAAAAGTTAAGTATTGCACTGAGAATGGTCACAGAGGCATGTAGGAAGGTCTGCAAGACCTGTACTGTAGAGCTGGTAGTGGTGTCCCAATCATAAGATCAATCTGCAGTCTGTCACTTGTAATATGTTCAAATTCCTTCTTATAAAGTGGTTGCTGCAGAAATCCAGGCTGGAGAAAAAAAGGTTTCAACTGCTCCTGTAAGCCGACCAGTTTTGTCTGTGTTGACTTCCTCAAGGCAGAGCTGATTCCAGTATTGCAAATCACTCTAATCAAAGTTACTAGCTCTCAATACATCCTTAATACGGATTTCCTGTGTCCATTTCCCTGCTCAACCAAAAACATGGCCGTCCGGATCGTAAAGGGCAACATATTATACCATGTTGCTCTCTGGCGTCATTCTCAATGTCTGGACTAATACTCATATCTGGGGTGAAATATGTATTGAAGTGCCACCTGTCTCCCCAATGAAAATGTCCCTGTCTAATGCAATCCGAATGCAGGAACCATAACAATGGCCGTTGAGGTTTGCTTTAAAATACCATACAAGTTGGAGCAGGGCTCGACTCCCAATATGACTGGACAAGCAATTCTACACTTAAATTGTGGGTGGAATGCCCCCAATCTTGCTAGCAACAACCAAAGCATACAGCAGGCTGACCCTTTAATGTAGCGGAAACGAATGGTCCTGAAAATTGCTTAGACAACTGATTCCTATGGCATACCAGGCACCCAACCACTCCCACCTGCCTTTCTAAGTGAACAAGCATCATTCATCATGCAGTAAGGAGACACCCCACATTACATCATATTGGCCACATGTACTGCCCATAGTGAGGCTCCATTAGACACCCGCACCTATAGTGATAAACCACATTATGGTAGGGGTATGGATATGCAACAAAATCCAAAATGGAGATAATTCCTGCTCATCCCGCAATCAATATGTAATCTATGACATGAAAAATAGAAGGCAAGTCAGTGGGGACAGTGTTATGTTCTAGGAAGTGTTAGGCTCTAGGCAATGTTCTGCTGGGAAACCTTTTCTCCTGGCATTCATGTGGACATTACTTTAACACATATCACCTATTAAGAGATTGTTGCAGGCCATGTACACCCATTCATGACAATGGTGTTCCCTGATGGCAGAGGTCTCTTTCAGCAGGATAATGCACCCTGTCACACTACAAAAATTGTTCAGGAATAGTTTGAGGAATATGACAACAAGCTCAAGGTGCTGGTTTGGCCTCCAAATTCCCTAGATCTTAATATTATTGAGCATCAGTGTGATGTGCTGTAATAGCAAATCTAATACATGGATGCCCCACAATGCTACTTACAGGACTTAAAGGATCTCTTGCTAATGTGGTGCCAGATACCACAGGACACTTTTACAGGTCTTGTGAAGGCTTTGCCTTGACACCATGAGAGCTTTTTTGTCAGCACAAAGGGGAGCTACATGTTATTAGGCTGGTAGTTGTAATGCTGTGGCTCATCACTGTATGGAGTATACCATTTTTATGGCAAGTTTTAAAAGTGCTCTCTTTCCTCCTCCTAGGTGTTAACTTTCAAGGCCCCCCTTTGTCTCTGGCCATGTGCATGTGTACAGGAATACAGGCACTCATGGCTTAGATTCATATTCTTTTGCAACCTTTTTAACCCCTTAAGGACCAAGCGTCTGGAATAAAAGGGAATCATGACATGTCACACATGTCATGTTTCCTTAAGGGGTTAAGGTATACCCCCAATGGCTACATGCATAACAAATGTATGCATATATCCATGGACTCTATATCTACTAAATATTGATTTTATCTTTTTTTTAAATTCATTTTCAATGTAGTGTGTCCCTATAAACTGTGTTCTATGCAAGTGCAGATGCAAAGTGCACTGCAATGCAGTGTATAGTGTGCAGTGTAGTCAAACACAATAATGTTACCGTAGTAGTAGATTTACCAAACAGCACCCAGTTTAACAACAAAAACATAAGACAGGGTGAAACCACTACAATGTCAAGCATTTTAAAAAGGGGGAGCAATGGCAGCAGCAGGCCTTTTTATATCCTATTACTTTATTACCAGAGCTTACTCAATTTTTAGGCTAAAGTTGGGAAACACTAGAGGTATCAACTAAAGTACTGAGCACATATATCTAATTACTTACATTACTTACTCAGGAACTTTCAAGATCAGTATTTTATTGACCTCTAGCATTGTCCATCAAAACATGTCAGTAGATAATTCACCAGGTAGGAGGTTATCTGTAGCAACCACAGACGAAGTTTGGCATTTTAAAATGAATAACACCTTGTCGAAAAGAGAGTTTCAGAAACAACATGTCACGTATCCTTCGTTTCCATGTAGCAAAAATGGAGATAATTACCTTCCGAAGAGCGAGGGAAGTGCTGCTCGGCTGTCTTCTGCCATGATGCCTGGCTTGTGCGGCATCGCGGTGCACACCGGCTGCAGCAGACCCATGCAATTATATAGCCCCACATTCGTCCACAGTAAAGGTGACGTCACGCAAAAGACGCAAACGCACGTTTTGGGGTCAAGGGCTAGGTATAGCCAATTGGATCTGCAAGAGGGTTATTTATACTCACTTATTCCTTAGCTCATTGCCCTGTCGTGGTTTCCCTTAGATGGTTATCTGAGAGTGTGTTCCTGATCATGTGTTTCTGGTTTTTGAATTGTCTTCATTTTGACTTCCCTGATTTCTGGTATCCTTGACTTTTGGCTTTTCCTTATCGCTGTCACTTGTTCTGTGTCCCTGACCTCAGCTAGTTTTCTGACTATTCTCGGGTACGTTAAGTCCAGCCATTCTAAGGCCTGGTAAGACGTTACCCTTAGTTCTAGGGTGTGATACTACTCTGCGTGCTGGATCATTATAATCCTGACACAATTCTAAGGCCCAGTAAGACGTTACCCTTAGTTCTAGGGTGTGATACTACTCTGCGTGCTGGATCATTATAATCATGGCATAACATCAATCATTTCATATTACATCTCTATTTGTTGTTATACTGGACAGTAGGTAAAGCTACAGAATTTAATACATATTGTCCCTCTTTTCCTTGGGCTTTACCAGATTCCAACTGTGGATGTTATACATTAAGTTTTCACCACATTTTAGTTGTCTGAATCCATTTGAATTCTTCCAAACCTCTTCAAGCAAGCTACACTAACACTCGTTGAATTGCTCGTTGGTCTAGGGGTATGATTCTCGCTTAGGGTGCGAGATATCCCGGTTTCAAATTCATGACGAGCCCAAGCCTGTACTCGTACCTTCATTCTTTTTTGATTTTAACAAGTATAGCTTGGAGGAAAGACGAGACATGGGGGATACGATAGAAAAATGTAAATACGTAGAGGGAATCAACACAGTAAAGGAGGAGACTATATTTAAAAGACAAAAAACTACCACAACAAGAGGACATAGTCTTAAATTAGAGGTGTAAAGGTTTAAAACAAATATCAGGAAGTATTGCTTTACTGAGAAGGTTGTGGATGCATGAAATAGTCTTCCAGCTGAAGTGGTAGAGGTTAACACGGTGAAGGAATTTAAGCATGCATGGGATAGGCATAAGGCTAACCTACCTATAAGATAAGTCCAGGGACTAATGAGAGTAGTTAGAAAATTGGGCAGATCATATGGCTCAAATGGTTCTTATCTGTGGTCACATTCTATGTTTCTATGTTTCTCGTGAAAAAAACCTTGCTCAGTGTCTCTGCTTCCATGCAGTAAACATATATTTTAATACTGTGTAAGCTGGGACATTAGATTACGTATGCAGGTATTTGTGGACATCCACGGGTATCTGAAGTCCAGGACAAAGGTAGGGTGTAGTTACACAGGTCACAAACCCTTCAGACTGTCCCTGTCTACACAGAAGAATGCATTTATACACAAAAGATACAACAAATGGGACTTGACAACAGAAAGGGAAACTGTTATAATACTTTACAAATCACACCACAATTTTCAAAGTTGGTGTTGATATTATTTCAGTAAACTTGGCCTTTCACTTGAAATTACCAACAATTCTCACATTAGTTAATAACCCTGTAAATGTTGTATATTCTTGGCATAAGAGAGAAAAAATAACTCCTTTTTTCTTATAATCATTTGAAGTCAATTTGATTTTGCATTTTCCTGTTATCGTCTCTTAAATGACTGGTATTATGCAGGGATGTAAGTCTTACAGAAAAAAGTACAGAAAAAGTTGTTTTAGGGCAGTGATTGCTAACCTTGACACCATAAATTGTTTCTAGACTGCATTCTGCATTTGTAGTCTAGGTTAGATTGGGTATCACAGGGCAGAAGACACTGAGGGCAGAAGTACTTTTCTGTATTAACCAGACATAGCAGAGATAGCTTGTGTAGATCCTGGGTGAATTCTAGTACTTGTTAAACCATTTGAAAGACACAAACTGGTGAGTCGATAACCAAAGATTCTTTGCATTATAAACATTACAATGAAGCTTAGTGCCTATGGTGTTTAGAGTGCCCCTTTAAGTTCTGTGAACAGCAGAGTGTTCAAAATGGTATCAAAACATATGCTGTTAAATATTGCATGCAATAATTATAATTACAATAAACTTACCAAATTCTAGTACAGCGTAAAGAAGTATAACTTTTTTTATGATACTGATATAATTTACAAAAATATATAGAAAAAAATATATACCAAATCTTAAACCACAGATTTTTTAGGGAAGGATTGTATGGCAATGCTGGTTCTTTTACTAAAGTATTACTATTCTCTGTTTAATAACTTAACATTGGAAAATATACACTATCTGAACCCTGTCTGATCTTCAACAATCCTTCTTATAAAGTGAATAATATCTGAATTGCTGATAACATTTATAATAAACATATAAACTCCCCTAGGTTAGTTTTGTTTCTTAGGGACCTTTAGATTTGTGATAATTAAAATAATGATTTTAACTAATCTAACCCCTTCACTGCTAAGCCTTTTCAAACGCCTGTGTAAAGCAGATTTTGAGCTTTTATTTATTTTTTTGAAACATTACTCATGGTTAACCACTAAAGTTAATTCCAAAATAATTCAAAGTGTATTTCAAATTTAAGGTGAAAATAATCAAACTGTAAAAATACTCAGTCTGCTATGCTTCCATTTTAAAGACTTTGGCATTAAATTTGAAATTCGCTTTGAATTCTCATTTTAGTGAATAACTCAAATTATGTATTGTTGGTTTTTGTTTTCAACAGGTCCATCAAATACAGAATATATGGTTTTAAATGTTTTTTTTTCATAATATGTCACAAAGCTAAAGCAAATTGTAAAAATAGGCTATATTTTTCTTGAGATTTTAATATATAATAATAAAAATAATAGTGTGTGATTTTTTTTTTTTTACTAGTTTCTGGAGTTTAATTTATTGCATTTCTTTAAATGTTTCGGGCATCTTTTTCAAAATAAGCACAGAAAATGTTGCACTAGAAAAATACTGAAATTTGTTTTATTTCCTTAATTTCATCAC